ACAGGAGTTTTTTTATGTATATATATGTATGTATATATGTATATATATATGTGTGTATATATATATGTATATATGTATATGTATATATGTATAGGAATATATAAAATCAGATTTTATGCATGAAACAAGCAAAACATGAATGCTGTCCAGAGCACTCTCATAAGAAATCAGCAAGCCCAGTGACTCCTTTGACAATAGAGGCATCAAGTGTTGGGATCCACAGCCTGCATAACTGTGCATGGTCGTCAAGTTTGGATTAGGCTGAAGTAAAATTAACATTGGCCCAAGTCTGAAACAACACGAAATGTCAGGCTGTGAATCAGAGGGCTCGTATCCTAAAACCTGTGAATTTGTTGAACTCTTCCTTAAATTAGATTACTTTGACTTATTAGAATAAATCGAATTTCTGTGCCTTGAAAATCTACATCTAATGCTGGTATAACATCCCGATTTTGTGGTTTTTTAATTCAGCTAATGAATTCTTTCAGTGGTTCACATGGGCCCAGCAGATAATTTGCTGTGAAATTACTAGGGCTTGAGAAAATGGCAGTAACCTTGGGTGAATGTAGATGAACATATTATTCGGAAAGTTGACACAGCTCTTTGGGCAGCTGCACAATCTCCCTTTAGAGGGAGCGATTCCCCACGCCAAGATGCGCGGGAGGAGGTTCTTTGGTTACAGGCAAGAGGATGCAAAAGTTGAGGGCAAGAAAAGTAGGAACAACCTCTTGTCTTTTACAATGTCAAAAATGTTTTAAAATAATTAGATCGCTTGGCATTCCGTTTCTTTAAAGAAATTAAACCTGATGAGTTCATAGACTCGTCATTTAAGCTTTTGATATGTCAAGTTCAGTGTTGCTGTAGTCATATTACAGAAAACCTCGGAGGTAGTGTTTGAAAGAGGGAACAGAGTGAGCATTTTTGCTTAAAACAGCTCCTGTCAGGAGTGGGAATGCTGAGTTTTCACAGAACTAAGATAGGTTTAACTCAGGATTTAGTCTTCACTAAYGTCAAACATATTCCCCACACTATTTTCAAGGGGAGGAGCAGTGGGAGAAACAGGAGAATTTTACACTCATTTTTTTTCTGAAAAAGAGCCCAAAATAGTTTGTTTGCCCCTCTACTTATACGCACTATTCTTTCTTTTAGTCTTCCTTGTAGCTTACTATGGTTGTCATGGGGAAGGAGGAGGCTGGACTTTYGGGTTTTTTTATGTGAAATGAGATGGAAGAAGTTCTGCTTTTATTAAGGATTTTTGAACCTATATTTTTATAGAAAAGCTACTGAGAATTTAAGGTCATAAAGAATTCCTTATTAATTTTCATCTTAAGCATGGGGTTCAAGACAGCTCAGACAATTACATGTTTGAAAGCTTATGTGCTGCACAGCTGATCAAATATGTCAACATGCTGATGATACTTTACCTTGTCAATGGTAATAGTGTCCTTGTGCTTTGCAGAAAAATCTAAATTGTCTGAATTAAGAAGGAAAAATTACAGGGTGTTTATAACACTCTTTTAAAAAACATGGCTCTTGTTTCTGCATTTAAGGACTTGTAAATGTATTAGCTAAGTACTAGAGATATATTTAGCAAGGCTGCTTGATAGAATTGTTGTAATGTTCTTTTTTAGAAAGAATTAACGTAAAGGAGTGAAGGTCTTTTCTTTCACTGCAATTTAGCAGTCCTGTTAAGCATGTACTGGCTTATTTTCTAGGCTCACTTTTATTCCAGCTGTGAGTGGGAAACTTCAGGAAAACATTCCTAAAAAGCACCTTGAGGTGACTAAATTGCTACTTCATTTATATCAAGATGGACAAATTGAAAATCTGCCAACCACAGTCACCAGTGCAAGTCCTGCTGGACTCCCACCCAAACAGATGACACGTTTTGCCTCCTCTGGGATGCAGATTTGGGGGATTGATAGTTTCAAAGGTAGGAAGCTCTAGACCAACCTTGTAGATTCTGAAAACAAGTGCCATTCCTCCCTCTTCCCTTTACGTCTCCCCATCAGGATAAGAAATGCTGTCACGGGAAACACTGAAATCATTATAGGGGTTCTTTTTTAATGGCAATGGCAGTCAGCACCAAGTAGGAAAGAACTGTTTTTTCCGTATTTCATGGAGACTTTCAGGAGTCTGCAATGACTCGGCCAAGTCCCTTTAGTTCCAATGAAGAGCTGTACCARTAGTGCTTCTCATGCCCTCTGTTCCATGCTAGAAATACTGACTTACTTGTAAAACATTAAAACGCAACAACAGCATTAGCCAGCGGCTAACCCTAATTTATATATAGGATGTTAGCCAATTTTCAGGAATTCCCTTTTTTKTTGTTGTTGCATAATATAAAGTAGTTTGGGAGGGGGTTGCATTCTGCTGCACAAAGACTTTTTTTAATGTAATTACAATGAGTTTGTTAAATATGTTCTGTGTTAATGCCATTGCTCTTTTACAGATGGGGACACTCAGGACCAGAAAGGTTAAAATCACAGAACTGTAGCAAGAGCTAGAGTTGAAGAAATAATTTAAGTGTCAAGACGATGCTCTAGCAACTGAGAGGAGAGGGCAAGTAAGGGATTAGTCTGCTAGGCAGGACATCTAGGCTCCATTCCYGCATGTGGCACAAACTGTGTAATTTTGAATAAATATTTAAGTGTCTGTGTTTTCAGTTCCCCATATAGAAGAAGGGAATAAGAATATTTCTCTTACACAGGAATTCAAATTCTGTAGTTAAGAGCTGTAAGATTAGAAATGGATCCTTTAAGTAGCTGAATGGTCTGAAATTTTATGACACTAAACTCAAGAAATTGGTTTCATTTTTAACATCATTGCAGAAACTAATCACCCTAGAGAGGGAATCGCTCAGTAAGTATTTTATGAGCACAACATTCCCAGCCTTAGAAAATATTAGAAACATACGTATCCTTAGAATATATGTACTTGTACAAGTACTTGATATTTTTGATCAAATTAACAATGCAGTTCGAATAATAGAGATTAAAAAAAAAGTTTTCTGGGTCCCAGTGTTCATAGTTCTCCTTTCAATTTTTGATCACATCTGTAAGAGAAATTGCTGATGGGCAGAAGGAGCTGTGTATCTTGTAACACATCRTAAGCGCTTTGTGAGGTTGTTAACTATCCTATGATCAACAAGCCTTAATCCAAGAACTCTGATTTAGAAACTCTTTGGATGCTTAGACACAAAGCCAAAGTGCTTCTCARATGCCAGATGATCATGTGTGAACTGCTTGGTCCTGAGTTTGCCTTTGTGAACTTTCACTGTCCCGCTTTGTTGTATCTTGGGCATAAAATCCTCTTCCTTGCTGACCGAAAGCTGTTCTGCCCCTTTGTAGGCGCTTGGAGGGTGAAGTGCTTGTCTGTGAACTGGAGCAGTTGTGGCCTGAGGATGAGGGGGGCTGTAACCCCCAGGAAAGCAACAGGCGAGGCAGGAGRTGTTGGAATATCCCAACCTGGTGCAATGGAGGCAGCAGAGCTCAGCTGGCAGCCCTCTGAATTTTGTTCATATCCCAGTCCGCAGTTTCAAGCTTTGTTGTTCATTTCCTTTGGTTCTTGCTGGACAGGKTTGCTCTCAGGACTCTTGAATTTTTCTCCAAAAAAGTTTCAATTTCTCCAAAAAGTTTTTGCTTTTGCAGTTTAAAAATGATGAGTCTGCATTTGATATGTGCAGATTCCAGTACAAAGTAAGTGAGATAAGGAATTCCTTAAAATTAGCAGAGRAATCGAAATTGGAAAATCTTCATATTTCCGAGAGCTGTTTGTTACACTGTTTGTTATCAAACACTAAGCAGCATTATTAAAGGATTCAAATTGCTTGTTCTGTTAACTGGTTATAAGGTCTCCTATATTTGAGGGGGAAAATGCTTTTAATTAAGCAATTTGCAAAAAAATAAAGCAGAAGCTTCAGTATTCAGCAAAAAAAAATGAAAGCTGACCCGCTTTAGAAAGTGTTTAGTTTTAGTTTTCATTTCCTGTTCAGGACCCTGGTTTTTATTTTTTTCCAAGTTCTTCTCTTTGAAATTTRGTAGTAATAGAAAGGGGAAAGTTCTTGATTCCTTCTCTGTTTTACACCAGTGTCGCTTAACTTTTCTTTGATTTGATATGAGTGGAGATGATAGAGTTGGTTTGAGGATTAATATAGTATGGAGCTTTTTATTCTGAGACTTAATATTCATTCTTCAGTAGTTCTTGTCATCAAAGTAGCTGGTACTTTTTCTGCTTCCACAGTACTCTGGACTGTTAGTTGTAGGGCAGGTGATTTAAGAAAAAAAATCAACCAGGTGGCAAGTCTTTTCAAGGTTACTAGTCCATTTGCAGTGGAATAAGATCTTAATGAAATAGTGATGTGTAAATTTAAAAGAAAAAAGAAAAACAAGGAAAAAAAAAAACCCAAGTACCATATGTTTTACTGCTCAACTGTGTTGACCCTGAAAGGTAGGCATCCCATGGAAACTAGCAGAAAATCCATGATAATAAATTATATCCCTCATTGGTGACAGAGCACCATAAATGTTCATTACAATAAACAAATATTGAGAACTGGGAAATTTCAAATTAAAGACAATTCAAGGCAACAGAGTACAAAACACAGCAGTGGGGTATTTGAAAAAGTYGTAATTATCATTTTTGAAATCAGTACCAAAAATGCTATCTGCATTTGGTTTTCTTTTGGACCATAAAAGTGCACAGGTCTGCCAAAAAGAGCCTGTTTTTTCTATGAGGTCATCTGCAGAAGTCAAGATTTTTAAATGAAGCAATTCAAGATTTATTTGTTTATTCCTTTTTAACACTGGCCTGAAAGTAGGATAATCTCCTGAAGAGGGATTTTGCTTTGGCATGATTTTTGAAAGATTTGTCTCCACACAAATGTATTCAGCAAAGAGATGTGCTGTTTCTGTGAGTTTTATCGTTAAAAAAAAATAGAAATATATGTACATACATATGTATACACACACTTATTTCTGTTTTCTCTCTTGTTCCTACAGTTTATTGTGGAGTGTCACGGGAATACCCTTCTCCCCCAGTTTTTGGGCATGTACCGGCTTACTGTGGATGGAGTCGAAGTATATATGGTTGTGACGAGAAACGTGTTCAGCCACCGTTTATCTGTTTATAGAAAATATGATTTAAAGGTGAGAAATAACTTGATGAAAGAAGTGGTAAAGCAATTTAAAATACCTAACACAAATGTCAGGCTCTTGATAATACCATATTGCTCAGTGTTTTAGTGAGTTTGTTTTATGTAACCACCCAAATTAGGTGCGTTTGATTACTTTTAAAATTTTGGTTAGCAAAACTGAGGGATGATTTTATAAAAAAATGCATTCTAACCAGGTATGCTTGTTAAATGTAACTAATGGTTAAAAGTTAGAAAAAAATCAGACATACAGTAACAATTTTGGCTGTTATGTATATTTTTCAACATTTTGGAGAGCCAAAACTGATCCAGCAGAGAGCTTTTATATAATGACTAAATAATGTCATCATTTAATCTAATAGAAGGTTACTTATTGCAAAAGCTTCATCAAATTTAAGTTAAAAAAAAAAAGCATGTTAGAATACAGAGTTTCTGTTGCTTTTATCATAAAGTGTGGCTTGTTTTTGTTCCAAATTCTTTATCTCCTCTTTGCAATTTTGCCAATAATCAACATACAGCATTTTAGAATGAATGCCCAAAACATATTCTCAGTCCCTCTACGTAAGGAATTGTATTTATCAGCCCACAGAGTCTCCCCTGAGAAACCTCCTTCTTTGTGATATGTTTTATTTCTGTGTGTTTAACTCCACCAGTGTATCTCCTTCTGCACAAGTCTCCTCCTCTGGAGACATTCAAAACCTACCTGGAACACGGTCCAGTGCCACACGCTCTAGGTGTCCCTGTGCTGTAGGTGACCCTACCTACAGCACCTACCCTCAAGGGGACCCTTCCAACCTCAGGGACTCTGACTCTGTTGCCTACCAGCTCATTTGAAGCAGGTCACGGAGGTCCAGGGTCACCCCTCTCCAGGGCTGTGTGGTGGTCACACCAGCTTTTCCCTCTGTGGAGTGTCCATGTGGAATTTGGTAGATACTCAACTCAAGCTCATTTCTGAGAACTGATTTCCAGATTATCATGAATTGACCTGTGGATGTTTAGTGCTATTGGCAGGAGACTCAGTAGAGCAAGGATACTAAGAGACTACAGATCAGCAAAGGATTTCAAAGGTATTGTCCTGGGCATTATTAAAACAACTTAAATATCAAATTTGGCAATATTCCTAGCTTGATTATTGTAAATCCTCTTTTTCTTTAACAGATGGAGAAAACAATTCAAAATTATATGTGTATCCTCAAAGAACTCAGTTATCAAAGACTTTTACCTGGCTTCATTTCCCACTGCATTTCCATATAGTGAAATGAAATCCCTGCTTGCTGTGCCATACAGAATAACTAAAGCTACTCTAATACTCATTCATTCATTCATTTCCCTGTCCAGTTTTCTAGGTCACTCTCTACAAACAAAAGAAAAAATAGAAGTACTGAGRTATTTGGGGGACTTCTAAAGTTCTTTGAAGTAGTGCAGCTCCACTCCAGCACTTCCCTAACTCACATCTTCCAACAAAATTCAGATCCAGTTTATATAGTTATCAACATCATTCAACATCAACAGGCTAGCATGTTGCATTTTTATGTTTTAAAGGTATAACTACAATTATTATATCTTGCAGTGCCACTAGGTGACGGGTAAGCTCTGGTTATGTGAAACAGCACATTCCTGCGCTCTAGAAACCTACAGAGGAGCATGCACAGTGTTTTTTCCCACCTTGATCTTACATAGAAAGCACCATATAGCTTGCTAGTTTGAGGTTAAATAAGTCTTTTACAGCATTCCAAATGTCTGTCGCACATGACATTTGAACAAAATCTTGGTAGATCTACTGTTGGTCCCATCTCTCTTTTTTGACTTCATGTTATTGTAAGATGYTTTCTTCTGGTTATACTTTTGATCTTTTATGTTTTAATTTATATCCTGCAACATCACTTTCAAATGTCTGTTTAATATGTCCAAGTAACTATATAAAATAGACTGTTCCATAACATGGCAGCTACCTGGCACCAAAGATCAGAAGATTGCTAAACTAACAGAGCCTCCGTTGTGATTCTCTCAAAACTGGGATGAGACATGAAGAGGAAATGCCAGCAGTGAGGGGAGACCACAGGTGTAGAGCACTGAGCATTTAATGAGTCTTTCTTCTTTCATGATATAACTTCTTCAATTGATTGCAGTAGTCCAAGGGACTGGGACATTCTACCTACTGCGTCACCTTTCTTTAAGACAGCTCTCAAGTTTAGAAAGATGCAGCCCAGCTCCTACTTGACCTGTTATTGTAGAAGATATACATATGTTCTGAGATAAACACATTTTAGATGCTTTTATTATTCTTTTCTGTTTCAGGGTTCTACTGTGGCTCGAGAAGCCAGTGACAAAGAAAAGGTATGGTGCATTTTGGTTTATTTTCACTTACGTAAACTGTTAGCTAGGCTCAGGTCATGCAGAATCACTTCTTATCTGCCCCTTTTCTTTGTTTTCCATCCTATGCTCCCCTCCTGAGTTCTGCCTCTTTCTCTCCTTTATTGGTTACTGCAGACCTTTGAATGCTGTTTTGAAATAGTGGTGAGGTGAGACGGTTCTCCACTTTTTCCTTTTCTCCTTTTCTCTCGCCTTCTTAAGTTCTTCAGAACCTACCTATGGTAGAAAAAAAAAACATTAGGAACTTCTGTTCTTGCTTCTTCGTTTTGCTTTTTTTCGTGTTCTTTAGTAATAAACATTTATGGATAATCCAGGTCAATTAATGGAACGATATGATGTGGCACCACTTGTAATGTGAAGGTAGAGTTGAATCAAACTTTGATTTGTGAGAACTTTTGCTGGGTGTGTAACAACATGTACAAACAAGCAAACCAATGTCCCCATGGTAAACTTGGATGTATGCCCAGGGAAGCGGTGGAGTCACCATCTCTGGCAGTGTTCAAGGAATGTGAAGATGAGGCACTTAAGGACATGGTTTAGCAGGCCTGGTGTTGAAGGGCTGGCAGTTGGACTCAGTGATCTTGAAGGTCTTTTCCAACCATAATGGTTCTATAATATGCAGCTATAAGAAGAGAGGTTCTTCTTCAAATTCCGTAGCTGCAGTTTTACTTTAAAAGGAAGTTGGTCCCTTAGTTTTTTTATGTCTCCTACTTGGGTTCACTTGGAAAATTTAGTATTCTCAAAGTAAGCATTTCTCTCAGATTTCAGTAAAATACGCCAGCAGTGGTCCTTTGGGAGAGGTTTGTGTAGACATCATACAGGCACCTGAAGATGAGGTATCATCGCTGTTACGGGAGACCTCTTAGATTTCTGGATTTGGGGTGAAGTCTCTAAGAACCTGATACTTGTTTTCTGAGCATTAGATGAACCATTTCTGCCTCTTCAGATCTTCAGTGAGCCCCACAGTTACACTAGGAGTGAGACACACAATAGCAGTCCATGCTACCATTTTAGCTACGTGGAAAGCTTTATATGAAGTATTCCCACTTTCTCCTATGGAATGACTTATGGTATGAATACTTACATTCGTCTTCCAGCGTTATCCAACTAACCTATGCCAAATGCCAGTTGAAGCTGCAATCATCTGTATTAGTGCTGTGTTGCTGCACGGGATGAAGCCCCTCAAGATCATACCTTGAATGGTCTTTGCCCATTCCTTAGGGTCTATTTTTGTCCTTGTTTGGTAGCGAAGCTACTAGTATTTTTAAAGCAGAGAGATTAACCCTTCGGTGTCTTACACGTCCTGTACATGTCAGGATACACTTTATGTTACTTGTCTTTATTATAGGTATTTTGAATAGTCATTTTATAAAGAAGGGTTTCTGTATTTGTAAGAACAGACGAGGAAAGCTTGATCTTGAAACTATACGAGCAACAATAAAGACTGGGGTTTCAACCCTGCACTAAGAGACATGTCTGTGCATGGGTGCCACCAAGTTCAGGACCTTGAAGACTGTCTTGACATAAGTACRTAGATGGATCTGTTATTCAAAGCTGGCAAGTGAGCTCTGTAGCATGTTTTCCACTTTTTTTTTTTTTCTTACGTAGCTATTACTATTTTTAAATTTCTGTTCTATTCTAGCTTGTTGCCTTCTGTAGGAGTATCGTGCCAATTTGGAAGATATTGGAATGTCTGGAAATTTTTAGCTCAATAAGGGAGAAAAAAAAAGGCATTTTTAGCAAACTCTCAAGAGTTTTTGACATATCACGTCTCAAGAAATTGCTTTGAATGATTTAACAAAAACAGAAAATCTCAAATACTTATCTGGTGTGATAACTTGAGAACTAATTTTTAGCCAGAGGCAACTTAAATCATCAATTTATGCATTTCCTCCTAAATGACAGTAATAATAATAGTAGAACCAAATTAATGACAGCATTATTTGATTACATATTCTAAAGGCATCCACTGCTATTCATATCTGAAAAACAAAAGAACACAAAGCAGGAAGCTTTGAGTGATAAAATGTAGGGCTATCTGGTAATGCCTTCTTTATTGGATCTTTCTGTAATTGATTTTTAATTCCTAATGTCAATATTCAGTTAATCAAATTATTTTCTGAATTCTGTATTAGCTACATTTACAGCTGTGGAACTCCGAGGCCAGAAAAAATTAAACAAACAAACAAAAAACAGTCAGTGGCATTAGCACTTGCTAATGCAGATTGGGAATTTTAGATAAATTATTTTGAAATGGCAAATTTGGGTAAAAGGATGATGTTCCTGATTTTTTTTTAATTTTTTTTTTTAAATCTCACTACTTTTTGATATTTGCTCTGTTAATGAATAAGAGGCARTCAGTTATGCAAAAATATTTAATAGACCTTAAAATATCAAATCACAAAAAAAAAGAGTCTTTTTCTGCTTCGGTTTTATAGTGTAAAATAGGTACTATGGTCCCAACCTTTCTTTTTAACCATTTTGTAGGAAGAAAAGATGCTGGAATGACTTTCAGAGTGTTACGTTCTGCCCCATTCTCAGTTTGTCTTCTGTTTGACTGTTTTCAACTGTTTAATATCCTAACATATTGATGATAAGCTCTGAAGCTGTCATTTCAATATTTTGTGATATTCCACGTGGAGACAAGCTCCATCCCTTAGATTTCACCTTAACACACGATTCCTCTCATTTGCATTACAAGTGTTATTTTAATAATAAAGGCATCACTTTCTTGGCAACAAGTATCATAACATGCACTTACAGATGTCTCGAATTTAAAAAGAACAGTATGTTTCAACAGTTGTCGAGTTCTGACAGCTGCTCCTATTTTTTCTTAATCTTCAGTTCCCCCCTTTTTTTTTCTTTTCTTATTAATAGGGGGCATTTTCTATTCATTCCTGGGACAATTTTGCCCTCTTAAGTGAAACAAGGATAATGCAGAACTCCCCGGTGGTCTCTCTGCTCACAGTTATGTTATGAAACGAGCCCTTTCAGCTCAGTGTGCTCGTCCTTCTGAAGAGCTTCAGTGTGTTGCCAGTGACTGAGCAGCTCAGAAGGCAATTTGGAGAGCAAAAATAAAACCTAAATGAAGTGAACATAGGCCTACCATGTTTCATCTTCCATAATTGTATGTTTTTAAATCAGTTTGTATTTCRTTGAAATGCTGTAGCAGTTTATTCAAAAATAAACATAAATACACTGAAATTGCAGTAGGTTCATTTGAACAAAATATTTTCTATCAAAGCTCCTTTAAAAAAAGTTAACATTATTATATTACATATTAATTATATTAGTTATAGTAGATATTCATAGAATCCTTAAGGTGGGAAGGGACCTTTAGAGAACATATAGTCCAACCTCCCTGCACATGCAGATATTAGTTATATCTATTATATTACATATCAGTTAAATTGCATGCAAATTACATAGCTTTGATAATTAGAATGGAAGATGCTGCTAGATGTAGCAAAACATTTTTTACCCKATATATTACAACATACAGCAAATTGAGAGCTGAATTATAACTAATGGAACTTTAATGGACTTTAATGGACTTTACCACAGCAGCAAGCTCGCTGAGGCTTGATTTTTTTTTTTCTTTTGATTTTAGGTAAAACTTGATTCAAGACTCATGATTCCAAAATCTGGCATATTTCTTCCTGCTAAATTAAAATATCTAATTCTGGAACGGTATTTTTCTTATACTTTCTCTTTTTTTTACTTATTTTCTGTACTGATTGCAGTCTGCTTCGTGCGCCTACCTCACACAAGACATGTGAAGCCAGTCTGTGAACTGAATGTCAGGCTGGCGTATACAGAGATTATGACTTTCAAAACATCACACTGCAGTGCACAGCAAAAATAGGAATAGGCATTCAGAGTTGAGATCCCTCTTTCAGTATTTAGCTTTATATGACACCAACCCTGTTTTGTTTTGCCTAGCAAATTTCTAGTTTCTCCCTCTCTTTTTTTTATTTTGTTTAAAAGTCTATTTTCCATAAGTTTAAAAATAAAAAGTGAATCTTTGTCTTGTGTTTTATATGCAGAGTGTTCATTTTGCAGCAGGAGAACATTAACTCCTGGGGTGATTCTAAATGCATTCCCTGAGCATTGAAGAGATGTATGCTTACTATTTACTATTGCTTCATCCATTCTGGAATTCCCAATCCATCTAAAAAATCCTACACAATCCTACAAAAATCCCTGCTGCACCTACGAAAGCCCTTCCAGTGTTTCCTTCTTTTCAGAACTAGGGACTCCAGACTTGTGAGTCTTCAGACTTTGGTTCAAAATCTGCTTGCACAAGATTATTGCAAACGATGTGTAGCATAATAACCCTTTTTAAAATACCACCTTCCATGTATGCTGTAAGCACAAGAAATCTAAAGTTCATCTCATGTGTTTAATTTGAAAAAAGAAGTACATAGTAAACACACATTGTGAAAAGAAAGCTGGGGTGTGGATCTTAGCTGTTGGCAGATGTTTTACTTCATTCCCAGAAGTTGCATACTGTAAGTCCAATTTTGCAAATGTTTAGCTATATGAATAGCTCAGCTCATTAGTCAAGTTAGTTCCAAAACTATCAGTAGGTATTCCGCATTAAATTGCTATTCAGTATTGTTCCTGCAACCTCTTTTCACCTCTGTCGGGTGAGAAGTTGCTGCCAGGTTATGAAGACATTTAGTCTTCTTCCCTCTTTTTGGTCTGAGATTCATCCTGAGACTCCACTGTCTATGCATGTTATAGGGGGCTTCCTCCAAGATGCAGAAGGAATAACAGCCGTCGTCGTTACTTCAGGTCATCTGCACAAAAACACCTTTTTTAAAAAAATACTAATCTTCATTTTATCACATTAGGCTAAGATGGTGAATTGAGATGTTTGAGAAATGTACAAAACTATTTCCATGTTCACATAGCAATCAAATCCTCACATCTGGCTCTTACATTTCAAGATATCTTTTTCATAAAACATTCTAGTAAGGCCATGTGCAGATTCTTTGTGATTTTAGGCTTGAAAACGGCCTTRCATATTCTGTCTTATAAGTCAAGAAAACATTTATTACTTTTCTGCATTTTCAAAGAAAATGGTATTTTCCTGTCATTAAAATATTCTGTGAAGATGACAATATATAGAACCTAAAGCAGAAGTGTATAAATAACATGCTTTCTTCAATAAGTAAATACTTATTTGTAAAATCTTCTGTGCCTTTCATGCATCTTTAAGCAGGGGATTAAAAATGATGGAGATGGTTCAGAAAGAAAATCTATTATTAATTTAGTGGAAGTAGTTAGATGTTCATCTCCTGTGCAGCTCTTAAAATATTTAGTTCTTTAATGATAGTAATATGTTCATTATAATGAATTACATTATAGGAGATTCTTTTTCCAACAAGGATTTTGCTTCATTGGAAATATTTGAGACTGAATTAAAAATTAATTGTATCAATTACTTCATTAAAGCAAAGTCTCCTTTTTTTTCATTCAAATACAGTGGTTGAAACTGCCACATGCTGTTGTCTATATTCTCTTACTGAGGTGCATAAGATGAAAATGAATTTTTCAGCCTGAACACATACATATGGACTTGAAGTAACTTCTAAAGCCCYGCCTAGTCGTAATTCCTAAACTCCCAAATCACTTTTCAAGCCATTAATTCCCGTGTGAAGTGCTGTTAGCACAGGCTATTGTGAGCAGCATTTGGGATGGAACCGGTATCCTGGTGAGATTCAGCTTTATATCAATATATCGATATATGCAGAATGCCGTTGCCTTTGTGCAAGAACAGTCGAGAMGAGGCTAAGAGAGAAGAGTGCGGGCCTGGAAGTGTCACACACAYGTAGTGAGGGCGGCCATTAGCACGTGGCTTTTTAGGCCCGATTTCTTATACTGGACCCTGTGCTTTTATTTCTATGACTTCCGACATGCTCCTGTGCCAGAGCATGGCCTTGTCGTTCGTAGGCGCAAAGCTCYGCTGTGGTGGGGCCCAGGGGCTGTGGGGGCCTGGGAGGGCCTACCCGAGGCAGGGAGGAGCCCGGCTTTTGGGAAGGGCCGAGTTCCTGCTGCCTCGGACGTCCTTGAGAGCAGCTCTGGTGCGCCGTGACGGCCCGCACGGAAGGTGCCTGTGTCAGCTGTGCTAGCTCAGCTTCGCTAAAAATAGGTGTGTGGCTGCGGTGCAGTGGAGCGCRGCACCTGGGCTGCCGAGAGACCAGCTCCGATGTCTTCCTCAAGCATCAGCACCTGCAGTTCAAGTTTATTTTTACCGCAAGGACCACTGTCTTCAGCAGAAAAATGGACTTCCCCCGCCTCGTCCCACCCAAACAAAGTGGTAATCGGCTGCGCTGGTGTCACACAGGAAGCCTGTGGCGCAGTCTAGAAATAGCCCCACAGCTCCGTGTCTTAACCACAGGCACATCCTTCCTCTGTGCCTCCCCGCCATCTCCCTGCTTTACTTTCAACAGCGCCAAAAATCTCTTTTGGTGTTAGTGGGTTTGTTTCACTTAATCTCTGCCCAATTTAATAAATAATTTGGATATACTAGATGCAAAAAATATCCCAATAAGATATTCAGTGGCTTCGTTGCTGGGAAAGCAGGGAGCTTGGTTTCTTGCATTCTTTTCATTACTGTTTCATCTTAAATTAATTCATCCAAGTCTCCTCTCCATTCTTCAACATCCCACTCGCTGGATTCCAGCCGCTGGGATTGGCGACATCCTTTTATCCCCAGTGCCGCCTCTGCAGCATTAGCCCACATCTAGGGGATGCTTTGCTCAGTTGTGCATGATACTGTCCACAGCTGCTGGTCTGGAATGTTTATCTGATATTTCCTTTGGAATGCTAAACCACTTTCTGAGCCGGCCAAAAGGAAAATCGTGGCGCAGTCGGCTGCCGTGGCCTAGTAAACAACTCATTGCTGGCTTTAAGCAGTGTCTGACACGTTTTGACTCTGTGTTTTTTAAGTTACCCAGCYGAGCACTTCAGGGTGACTGTGCAAGGAAGGGAGTCTGGTAGGCATGACAGTTATCCCTCCATCTCAGCTGCTTAGGGTGTTTTTGCTTTTATTTTTAAACTAACATAGGACTCTGGAATAAAGCTAGAGGGTATCTTAACACATTAGATTATTCTAGAAACAACACAAATAATTTAATTAGATACTAATAGGAACGAATCCATGGTAAATCCATCCAATCCCCACACCTAATGAACTTTGGAAAGACCGGCTCTGAGTTTGGMAGCTGTGAATTAATTACTAATTTTTTTTTGAGCAGTTACTGTAAGAGTCACCTTTCTAAACAAATGCATCATTGAGGGCTCTCAAGTAAGCCACAGATTCCAAGTCCAAGAAAATAAGTGTGGACAGTTGTAGAACTGAGGATTTCACTCCCCTTTCTATGCAGCCCAGAAAGCAAAGAAGCAAAAAGTTTACACTATTGCAAAGATATCTAAAGCACTGAAGGGTCTGCCATGGTCTCACATTTTAGTTCTGCACTTTTCAAGAAATAAATTCTGGTCAAGACAGAAGAACCTCTGAGATTCCCTTATTTACCATGTTTACCGGAAGAAAATAAACCGTTAAAAATATGGTCCTCTGGAAGGTTACTGGCAATGTTATGCCACTTAAAACTTGCAGAAGACTCATGATCACTGCCCGTTACTCCTGGCAGAAGGACTTTCAGAGTTAAAGGAAATTAGTTCATGGCAATCAAGGACTGCAGTACTCAGATGTTGTGTGATATTTTCTTTGTACAGAAAACCTGTTCTGCCCCATCTTCCTACTAGATTGTTAGGAGAGGGAGAAGGCAACAGCCATTAAAGGCCCTGTTTGCAGAAACTGCTTTCCTTTTGGGTTCCTTGACCAAATAGGTCCAGGACTGACCAGGTTTATTTGTTTGTTTGTTGTTGGACTTCTTTTGTTCAACTTTTTAAAGTAAATTTCCAGTCCTTATCCTCAGAGCAAGTTTCAGGGGTCTTAGGTTACCTACAGTTACTAAAACCAGTGGTTACTTTAACTGCAGCAGTCATGTACATGTCTGTCTGTGCTTAATGCTGTTGTAACTCACTTCACAGGAGAGTTTAAGATGAAGATAATCCACTAATGCTCCAATATCAAGAGTATTTCATTGAACATTTAAAAGGCAGTAGTCTTCTCTGGGCAGTATTMTATAATTCCTGTTCAACCTGATTATATATGTATGTGTATATATATAAATATTTGGTATTAGGCACTTAGAAGCTTTCACAGTAGCTATGCAATATGTCATGCAAAGCCCATTGATGTGGTAGCSCTTTGTTGAGAGGTATAGGTTTCATTTGGACTAACTTTTGGTTACTTCTGAAAAATGACGTCTTGGAAGAAGTGTGGGCTCCAGCGGTAGATGGCAACGAAGTATTGGGTTTGCTATTTTGTCTTGGTTAAACTTACTGCTTTCCCAGTAAATTTACACCTACAAGGCAATGTAGAATGCAGATGAAGCAGAAAAGCAAAAAGCTGTTTGTCACCATRAGGACCTGTGTGCCATGGAGGCCCACGTGCTGCAGCACGGGACTTTCCATGGGAGTAGCTCCCCAGTGCCCTCTTGGGGCATTACAAACCTCTTCTGGGCATTACAAAGCTTTTCTGGGCATTACTCTTGGGAGATTTGAGCATGTAGCTCCCAGTGGGGCTGCATGAACTTTGGTTGTGGACCCGGGTTGACGGACTGCTTCATGGTGCTCCTGCTCGTGTTGTGACTCTGAATGTCGGCCTTGGTTTGTTTTAGGCCAAAGAGCTGCCGACGTTCAAAGACAACGATTTTATTAACGACGGCCAAAAGATTCATATTGATGAGAACAACAAAAAGATGTTCCTTGAAAAACTCAAAAAGGATGTTGAGGTAAGAACGTACCCATTCAGCTATATGTAATTAAAATATGCAGCAAATTACAGATATCTTTGGAACTCATAGCTCTAATTCATAAGATAAAAACTCTAGTTTACGAGACTGTAAGCACYGACTCTTTTAAGTGAAGCAGTTAAAAAACTGCAGGAGTTGATCACTACTTTGCTGACACAGGAGAGAACCTCGATGCCGTAGCTCGTTGTCATACACTRTCGCAGCCTTGCTGGGGCTGTGTTCAAGTGGTGGCAACAGCACCTCTTGGCACCCAAGGGCTTCGAGCACAGTCCGTCCACAGGCCCCCGAGGGGCAGCTAGGTTTTGTTAGTGGTGTTTTACAGATGGAGCACGCTGAGGTTCACCAAAGCTGTTGACCTTAGCCAAGGCCATATGTGGACTGTAAACCATAACAGACAGTGCAGGTTCCCCTCCGCATAGCTGTGCCTGCTCTGATTCATATTAGTAATCCAGTTTTCAATCATCTTTAGGATCGCACTAATGGACTGCTTYGGAAATTTGTATACAGCACTTGCGCTCATTATTTTAGTGCTGGCTTCCCTTGTAAATTTGTGTTGTTTTACTATGTGATTTTAAAATTGTATTTTTTTAAATTGATACAGTTACTCAGGAAATAAGGGAAACTAAATATTGAGCTAACTAGTTCACACAACTTGGCTTCAAGTTCTGCAGTTCTCCTGCGTTAACAGTCGAGATTGTGCAGGCCCTAAACTCAAAGCCTAAAATCCATTTTCGTTGTTAGCCGAGGCCTGACATAAAAACGGTTCTGTAGCTTAATAAACTTTGAGCTATTTATATCAAAAGGAATTAAGTCAAAATTGAATTGACTTGTTCTTCATACTTGTATCTGAATGTTGTTCAAAAGCTGCTACATAGTCACTTAAAATAGTGTAACTTTGGAATTTACCAATTTACCCATTTACCCAGTAATTTGCTTTTGAAAGAAAAAGGCTTCTCATCAATTGATAATGATAAAACAAAATAGCATTATGTTCTTCCTTTGTATTTGAATATATCATGCTAGCAAATTGCTCTGTCAGTCTCACAGTTGTAGAAACAAGTTAATTTGGGTTTAAATTTTGTGCTCCTTTAATATGTAGTGCTGTTGCTGACTTCTTACAGTTTCAGACAAGATTTCAAATATGTGCACTGAATGTAGGAGTACAGTCCTGCCTCAAGATGTGGATTCTGTGCTATCTTCTATATCATAGTAAATTTTATGTGCAATGTAAATGCATTGTGATACCATGTTTGGAGAGGCTATTTTTTTATGGTTTTGAAATTTATACAGATCATCACTTACTATACAGGTAAATCACTGGTGTGAAGTGATGTGACAGCTGATTTAATAGCAGGGAGCCATTTTTAATGGTGTTTTCCTTTTATTGGTCATTCTGCACTTGTTGGATAGCTAAGAATATGCAGTTTGTGCCTAGTGCATAAGCACTCAGATTGCACTAGTCCAAAAAAATGCACTGCACTTAGTATTGCCATTATCTTATCAAATAGTATTCACAGTCAAACGTATTATGGCGTAATAGGTTCAATTATATGGCTTTATTTCTGCTTTTGTTTGTCATTAYATAATTTTTGTTGGGTAGTATTGCTCTCATAATCAAATCTTATGTTCCTTTCATATGCTCCAACAGACAAATATTTATCATTGCTGTTTCGCAGTCTCTCACCCAGCACTATCTTCAGTTCTCTCTTGCCTCATTTTCCTGCCTGTCCATTCACTGAAACTGGGAAAAAGCTCAGAAGGATATGCTTTTTTCCACTTTARATGTGACCATCTTTTCTTTGCGCTGATTTTCTTAAATTTCTCTGCTGTCCTGAGCAGCACACTTTTTCCCAAGACCCATTTTCTTTTGAGTTGCAGCCTTTTCCTTTCCCAGGGATCTGTTCCATTTCCCAACATTCTTCCTTTACAATTACTGGTAGATTTTCCTTCTCTCTCTCTCTTTCTTTCTCTTTTTCCTTCTCTTTCTCTCTCTTGCTGCCCCTGCCTCCCTCTCTCAGTGTTTCTCAGGAACATAAGGATGGGCCTCGAGTCTTTCCCGGCCGTCGCCTCTGGCCTCTCTCATCTGCTCTTACTGGGTGTCATTCATTACCTCCGTGCTGATCACGAGGCAGCTGCTCGGGGTATCCTTGATGTCTCCTCCAACTTAAATCTATTCGAGTCTTGTGAAGAGTCTTTGGCTTTATTGTATTAAAACTGATAGAAACCAATTTATTTTTTTTTCCAAAATACCTCTCACTCTCCTTCTGCCTGTTATCTTTTCTAGTATTTGAAATCATTATCATGTTCCTGTTTTGACAAACTCTGTATTGTGTCTCTTTTTCTAATGTTTTTGTATCTCTCTCATCCGTTATAAAGTCTAGCTTGAATTTCTTCTCCTCTGGTCTGCTCTAACTTTTTTTTTACAGCCCACTGGAGTCCCTGGCAGTGGAAATGATTCCTTCTTGCACTTGCTTTCTGAGCCACGCATAAGGTCCAGTTCCCAAGTGTTCATCTAGCGAGCTCCAAACCTCAGAGGTGCTTTGGCAGCAGCCCAACATTGTGCTGTTTTCCTCTCATCCCCCCAAACAACTTGCTTATTCCTCCTCTCTTTTCTGCTTCCCTTACTTCCATCTTTCTCACCTTGCTGCCTTTTCCTGTTGCCCTCAACTCAGCACTTTGTATATACATCAAGCATATTCACTTCCAGGTTTCYTCAAACTCCCGTCTTCAGTCAAAATGCTTTTCACATTCACATTTTGCTAATCTGAGTTAAATTGTGAGCCTTTCACTGTGAAGAGAATACAGGCATCATTTCAGTTCCGCACAATGTAAAACTTCACTACACTTCTACTGCTAGAATACTCATTTTCATGACTTTTTAATAAAGATTATCAAGGAGGGGTGGAATTGAGTGCCAGATGACAACACACAACCCATCTGATAGCACARAGTCTGGCCTGCACGTTGCACAGTGACCAAAATAGCCCCAAGTGAAACCCTAGGCAAGAGGGACAGTGATTGCCTYACCCAGGGCTGATCTTCACTGCAGGAAAATGTCTGTTTATCTGAGGATTTTGCAAGTGTGATACAGCTTTTTATAATCCTAAATTGTATAGTGACCTATGTGCTGTTGCTACACCTTTATAAAGTATATTGCTGGTACAGTTAGCCCTTAATTCTCCATTTTGTTCTCTCTTTTTTAGAGAAGAAAGAATCTGCTCTTTTGGGCTGACATCTTTACATAACTTCTTACCTTTGCAGCTGGAGCTTAGATTTTCCGGTGATATTGATSAATTGCTTATCACTTTCTAGTTTCTTGCTCAGCTAAAACTCATGGACTACAGCTTGCTGGTTGGCATTCATGACGTTGAAAGAGCTGAACAGGAAGAGGTAGAGTGTGAGGAGAATGATGGAGAAGATGAAGGCGAGAGCGATGGCACCCACCCCATTGGAACCCCTCCAGACAGCCCRGGAAACACACTCAACAGCTCGCAGCCTTTGGCTCCAGGGGAATTTGATCCAGCTATTGATGTTTATGGAATAAAATCCCATGAAAGTAAGCAATAAGAAATGTTCTTACATTAAAATGGTTTGATTCTTAAACCAGAATCTTAAAGCCTTCTTAACCACAGAAAAGCAAAGTTGAGTGGCACAGTGCCACTCACTTTATAGAAAAGTTGTTTTTCCCTGATGCAGCAGAAAGCAGAAGATGCCTGTAGTGCTCAGCTTTGATACTGCATATATTTCTCAGGTRTGGTGAGGTGAGGTTAAGGTTAAGTAGTTCACCAACTACACAAGCAGCTCATATACTCATTTAACTATTTACACACAGTGGTTCTCAGTTTTTATTTCTTCTCATTCCTTTCAGAAAATTTAGTGAATATCATTTTCCTGATAGGTAGTTAATACTCTTAAAAGCACTCCAGAAGAAAGTGAGCAAAGAGCATTCCAGTTTGTATTTCACTTAGTTGGTTTTGGTGGCGTTTTTTATATATATATGTCAAAAGCATATACATTAATAGATTAGAGTTTTTAGTCCTAAATAAAATTTGACCTTATTTTTCACACAGAAACACCACCTTTCATATAAAACATCATAGTTTATATATGTAGTTCATATATATATATAAAAACCATGAAAGACCATATAATCTGTATTACTTTTAGTGAATAAWAGTTACTATTTCTGTATGCCAGTGTTTTATTTTACACTCATTTACTTTTATTTGCAATCTATATGAACACAGTTAATCTCTCAGTTACAGAGGGTCTCAGTTGCAGAGTCTGTGACTCCGACTGCCCTGTCTTTGCTSCTGATCCCCTTATGGAACAGTCTCCTCTTATGCAAAGCCATTCTCACTGCCATGCGCTCTCCTTTTGCAGATGCACCTCGGAAGGAAATCTACTTTATGGCCATTATTGACATTCTTACTCATTATGACGCAAAAAAGAAAGCTGCCCACGCTGCAAAAACGGTTAAGCACGGGGTAAGGATCTGTGTTGTTTCACTCTTATTCTGGTGGCACTTACGCATATTTTTYAGTGTGTTGGCATAGCACAATTCAGGATGTCTTTGGTAAGGAGGGAAATAAAGGGGATTTTTGTTTCTTTTTTTTACTAGTTTAACACGTAATTCAAAAATATAGAACAGCAGCTACACATTATATACAGAGAGTAAAGCTGCCTTTCCAGCTGTGTGCCCCTAAGGAATGCTGGTGAGATGCTGTCTTTTGAGGACTTTGTCCTAGGTTTGTGAGATGAGCCTTGTTCTTGGAAGCCAAGGAAGTTGTTCACAGGGACATGTACTCCTATCCAGCTCTGTAAAAGCTGCTGTGAATGTGATTTAACACGTGGGACCCTGGTGATGGTTTCATTATTTGGCACAGCCACACTGCAAATTTTGTCCCTGGCACATGACATAGCTCGCTTTTTAAGACTTGTGGAAAACACAATTTACAAAATTAAGCATAAAAGGCAGTTACTAAATACTTCAAGACCATTTGGAGATTTCTTTATTTTGACTGAAATTGCTGCTTAACAGCAGCTACCAGAGAATCATGGTGAAGAATCCCAGTCTCACGGAGTTAAGGATTACATCTTCTGTCATCACTGGACAGTGACTTAAGGGATCCAATGTCACAAACTCTTTAAAACAAGAGCTTAGTCATCCATGAGTCTAAAATCTGTTCTGTCCTCRCTATCTGCAGGACCAGGCCTCTGTGTGTTGTTGTTTTTTGGTTTTTTTTAACGAAAGAACTTGGAGCTTTTTCCTTTGCAACATGAAGTGATTTGGAATTCTCAGCAGTGAGCCCTGTCCAGGCTTGCAGGGATATTTTTTGTCTCTCCAAAACAATGCTCTCATTACTCTCTCTGCTCTCAAAGCAGCTGAAAGCTGATGCAGACCATATGCAGCCATTATCTGGCAGTTATTAAGGAACTTTGAGTGTAGCATACTTAAAAATCACAGTTCTGGATTAAATAAGGGGGAAAATATGTTGTAAATAACAACTAGGACTACTAAAGCTGACTGTGATTAAATCTTTTTACTGAACTTTTGAACAACCATTTTTATTTTTATTTATTTCACTGTCTACATCCTGAGCCACCTGAAACAGAACTTTGTTCTTTAATTACATCCTTTTTTTTTTTTTTGAGGGAAAAATCAAGAAAATATAGGTACAAATGTGGCTAAGACTGTGAACCTCAAATAATATTGGGGATAAAATTGCAAAATAGCCATTATGCACCAATGAATCAAGATTTAAATGTATATAAGTTGCAAAATTGTTAAGTCATTATGACTATGTATTCCAAAGCAGGCTGATAGGCATTCAGACAGCAGCATTTAGATGGCAATGTGCATTAACTGGGCGGCGACTCACCGGATTTGGCTCTGCTGGTCCAGCCTTCTCTGGACAAAGACACTGCTGCTGAACAGGCCACGATGTGTGGCTGGGTCCGTGGGCAGAGCAGCTGTGTGTGTGGCAGGAGTTACACGGGCGCGGGCAGTACAGCGAGAGGTAAAGAAAGGGAAGAGGGAGCTTCCCAACACGGAGCTGCCAGCCCTGCGCTGGCCATGGAAAGGCAGCGGTTCTGCTCGAAGGCCAATTCGTGTTGATCGTAGCTGCTTCTAGGACTGCAAATAACATTTGAGAGGCACTGGCAATGCCCAAGCATCGAATAAAATGTTGGTTCTTGCTTCTCTCGCCCTCCATTCTCTGTGCAGGCCGGAGCAGAGATCTCCACGGTTAATCCCGAACAGTATTCAAAGCGCTTCTTGGACTTTATTGCCAACATCTTGACGTAACCCATCGTGTTACACGGGACAGACACAAGACCTGGGGACAGCAGCAGTGGCTACAAGTGTAGGGAAAAACGGAACTCAGAGAAGTGCTCATCTTGCAGAAAGCAACCCCTTGTTTACATCTGCTGGCAAAGGTGCCCGACGTGGGGTGGAATACGCGCTTTAACAGCTGCCTGATATTCCCAGCATAGTTCTAGCTATTTCTGACTCTTTTGTGTGTGCAAAAAAAGTTAAATTAAATAGATCAGCTTCCTCAGAGTGCACTGTGACAGGAATGCTCTGATGCTACTGGCCGAGACGGAATAAATGAGCAGAGAGCCGAGGGGTGGGGGTGGGCAAAGGCAAATGCATGTGCGACCTACGATACGGGCATCAAACTGTAAACTGTGGATCAGTTTATTTTTGAACTAAAAGATACGTGACAGTATTCGTGATGATAATGATAATAATAAAACCCTTCCCGCGAGTGTTACACTTCCCACTTGCACACTGGCACTCCTCACAGCGCCTGCAACAGGAGGCCTCAGCGCCGGCGGGTTTTCCCGTTCGCTTCCTAGCAGTTGGGTTTCTTCCCCTTTTTTTCTCGCTCCCATTTTTTCTTCTCTTTTTCAGCACCAGGAAGTTGAGACTCTCAGGCACCTGAGAGCTGACGTCTCTTTCCTTGCAAAGAGCTCACCTGTATTTCATGCTGCGTGTACATTTTTTGCTACGGTGAAGTTACGTTAAGGGAAACCCTTGCTTGTTTCACTTTGTTACCTGAACTTTGCATTTGTTTTATATTCTTGCAGTATAGGAACTAATAATGTTACAAGTGGGAAAAAGAAAAAGCTTGTTTGAAGAAGCACGTAGTTGGGGCAATAGCAGCTTCATCTTTCGCTCCCGAAAGGTGAGCACACGGATAGAAATTCCATTTCTCCTGTAGTTCAATGGCAATTTGAAGTTTCAATGCTTGTGTTGTACTGTTTAAGCAATGGTATTTTGTTACGGATTATCCCTTTAAAAGTTAACTCTGACTTTTACTGTTTACATTACTAGGAAAGCAGGGATACTTCTGAATTTCAGAGCCGTGTACAATATATGCTCGTTGCGTTTACATGTAAAGTTATTTTGCAGAACAAATGAAGTAACGTTCGTGCCCTTCCACGATGCGGCGTGCAGCAGTGTACCCAAGCGAATGTCTCACTCACCTCCATGCCAGAAGCTTTTACAATAAAATGATGAAAGGCCCTTTCCRAGGGGTTCTTCCCAAGGTCGTCTCTTATCATCAATATGAGCTGTCCTCTCGCTTGCTCGCGTTTGATTGTACAGTGCATTGCCTAAAACTCTGCTGATCCTGTTTAACTTGCTAGAAACTTCTAAACGACGCCGTATTTCCGCTCTTCCGCTCCCCCAACAACCTCATGCTTGGAAAAAAAAAAAAAAAAAGACCAATTTACAATTTACATATGCTCAAAGTTTATCTACTTCTACACTGTGCTGAAGCCGTGCCTTTCTACAGCGTCCTCATGGAAAGCAGCGGGCTCTCGTGGGCCCTGTTGCGCCGCATCCCTCGCGCCGCCCGCTCCTCTTGTCCCCTTCCCTGCCCTCCCTGCAGGGTCGTCTGGTCGTTCCGTTCTCGTTGCGTCCGACCCGGACCGCGTGTGGGCCCCTCGGCGCCCTGTGTGTCTGAAGCAGCGGGGACCGGGGCCTGGCCGTTCCTGCCCTCCGCCCATAGGCCCCAGCTGCCGACGTTTTCACCCAGGTTTGGCTTTCTGAAGGGCGAAGAAGCTGCCGTTCCGCAGGCACGAGGCCACGGCGAGACCCTGCAGTAACGGGAGGGTGGGTTAGTACCTAACCGTGGCCGACCCCTGTGCATTCCGAGGCAATTTTAGAAATGCTCCAGCCAAGCGTTCAGCTTTCCTTCTGTCTGTGTAACAGTTTCTGTCACTCATTATTGTCGATAAACTGTTTATTTGGACAGGGCAAGGAGGACTCATTATTGTATGTCTTAGTGCTTAGGTTACACTCCAAACATGAGCAAGGCTTTATAAAATAAAGCACTTTGATGACTCACTAGGTAAATCCTTTGTTCCTGTGTTTCGACTATGTTTTTGATCACTTACAGATGAGTTTTGGATGCTCCAATGAACCTGCAACCTGCATCTCAAAGGAAAAAACAAAAGGAAAGAAAGAAGAAGCTTAGAATTTTTCATTAGATTTTATCCTGCTTCTTCGATGGTTATTTTAAGTGGCTTAAACCACTTTGCCTTTAATTTTGTGCATAAACTGTGCTCCAAGCACAGATACAGAGAACTGGAATTGGCAGTTTGATGGACTGAATGTTACTGCAAAAAAAGGAAGATCCTCCACAACAGTTAATTTAGAGAACGATTGGCAGAAGTTTGGCGGAGTGCGAAGACCTTAGGCCAAAGCAGCTATTATAAAACCATTCAGGGATAAGTCAGAGAGGTTTTCTGCTCTGGAACTGCAGGCCTTGCGCTTTGACGCAATGCTGCTTGTGCTGCACAGCCCRGGCGCGTGGCACAGAAGTGGCCTTTTCCCTTCCTTCTACCTTCCAGTTCTCATAGGGCACTTTCCCCTTTTGATTGTTTGGCACTGATGTATCAGAGAATATTTCCAGCAATATTCAGCCCTACAAAAGCCACTCGATAGCAGTACTGAAAGCTGAGTGTTTCCCACAGGACAGGTTGCTGAGCGGGTTGGGACGGGCTCCGCAGGGAGGCTCCGGGTGGCTCCTCTCGCTGCCTCCTGCCCGGAGCGCCTGGTGGGATGCCCCTGCTGGGGATGTGTGTGGGCTGCCGGGAGGCCGCTCCTCGGGGCCAGTTCCCTCACAGCAAGAATCAGAAGCTTCTCATGCACAAAGCGAGCGGAGTGCAGCAGGTCAGAAACCTCCCCCCGCTCTCCTGCTCCCCCAAACCGCTCCGTAGCACGTAGCGAGACTTTGCTCGCTTCCCTTCGGACGTTCCCAAATGGAACTTTCTGAAAAGCACCCTGCGTTCAAGATGTTTAGGCCAACCCTGTCCTTGGGCTTGGTGGTTTCATGGAGCGACTCCTGCAGCCGCCTACAGCCTGTTGTCCGGTTCTCACTCAGCCACCACAGCCGGGTGTGGAGCCCGGAATTCCAAAGCCGGCGCTGCTGGTGGGCAAAGTGCATCCCTGCATCCCCTCATGCCGTCTCTGTCCGCGCAGGCGCAGCGCCAACCTGCAGCTGGTGACGTTTCCCCTGCCAGTTCTGCAGCCGTGGGCGAGTGGCCGTCCTGCTCCCCGGGGTCTGTCGCAGGTGCCCTGTGTGCAACACTGTGTCTTTCCAGATAATTTTTCTCACCTGGAAAACAAACAAGCAAACAATTGAAAACTGTGATGCTATTCAAGGTGTAGGATTTAATTGGCTTATTAATGCAAAGGCTGCAGCAAAAAGAAAGGTTTCATTTAAAAAGCTTGGAAACGATACTATGGTGTGTAAACTACCTGACCTAACTGTGTAATCTGAAGTTTCATTCCCCTTCCTTGATCCTGTCTCTTCTTTTCCRATGTAGCACTAGCTGGCAAGTCCCTGCACCCAGTGGGATCATTTCACTCTGCTGTTCTCATCTCCCCACCTGTATCCAGCGTGTCTGTTCTCTATGTGCTGTCCTGTTTCTTCTTGTTTTCTTTCAAACTTTCATAAATGTAACAAAAAAATAAATACAAGCAGAGAGCAGTTAACTTAGAAGTTTGTTCTGTCTCTTCCTTTCTTTTCCTGTCCTATTTTCCCTGGGCTGCTACTGGAGCTCAGGGCCCTTCACGGCACGGAGCGGAGGCCGCATCCGGATCCGGCGCAGAGGGCAGTGCCGAAGCACAGAGCCAGCTCCTGCTGCCCTAGGGAACGGCCTCCAACAAACCACGGAGCAAAAGCTTCGGAAAAGCTGCTTCCCGTGGCGAGGGAGACTCGCGTGAGATTAAATTCACTGTGCAACTGTAGCCTTCGAAAAGAGGCAGAAAATAGGGCTGGAAAGGACGTGAAGAGAGGGGCAAKATTGGATTAATCTTTTCCACAGCTTCCCTCTGCTCTCTTCCTGTGCCTCACTGGCTTTATCATTGGAATTTTTCTAATGCCCTGTTTTGACTGTATCACTGCAACACAAGCTCATGAATATTTGTTCTCTTCCCCAAGAACAGTTATATTCTTTTCCTCTTTCACATCTTCTTAGTATGATCCTGCTTTCATGAACTGCACAGTGTAAATATTAGCCTTGCACATATGAAATGGAATATTCCTTATTTAACAAAATCATCCAAATGGTTAAGCCAGAAAGAATAACCTATTCCATATTCTTTAGTCTTTTTTTTTTACCATTTTTTAAAAAAGAATGCTCACATATTAAATGGTGCTTCTTAATTCTTTACCACATTTTATTTATTTATTATCATGTTTCTAGACAGAATTTCCTAATGCAAATGGCTGCACTTTGCAACCTAATCCCAAAGTTCTGTAATACCTGCCATGTGAAGAGCAAATAATTCCAAACAGACCTGTGGCCATTGCTACCTCTTGTTGTGTTCCTGCAAGAAAATATTATCTAATTTTCTCTTTTCCCAAGGAAAATGATCTCATGATTTTAACTTCCCTAATTATATTCCCTGTTCGCAGCTCTTAGGCTCATCTCCAAGACAGTGATAGGGCAYAAAATAATTGTTTGGTGGCAGGTAATTAAGATAAACAAAATACAGAAGCAGTGAATTGGCCTCAGTTCCTGCCTACCTAGTGCTCTGGGTATTTGTACACATTTCAGTTTTCACCCCGTGTGCTCAGAGAGAACTCCTACTTTATTCCCACTCAATCTGATTAATTCTTAGGGACTCTTTTTTATTTAGCAATGTGTATCCTACTGGAATAAATGGAATTGGTGAGAAGCCTGTGTTTTGACGAGGTTTGTTGCTTTCATGCAAGCCTGGAAAGTGATTTAACTCATTACAGTCCTTCGTTTCTGCTACTTTACCTTGCCTGGGGATAAGAAGCACAAGGACAGAGCACTTTTCCTGTCTAYATTGCCATATATTTTAGGATCTATGATCCTCAGTGGATCCATAACATAAGACTTCCCCGATCACGTGCCTCTTCACAGCCTGCCTGGCATGCAGTGGGTGCAAGGGCGAGYGGTGGTCCCGGGGCACACGGGCCCTTGCTGCCCGAGCAGGTCCCGGTGGGTGATGCTGCCTTTAGGCAGGCGTGTGGCGCTGAGCCCAGCTTACAGCACCAGGGCCCCTCAGCCTCTGCACTGCACTATCACATAACAAAAATGTCATGTTTTCTGTCTGCAAGGGCTTCACCTGCCAAGTGTTTCCACTAATTTCGGTTGTCAGACTTGAGCAGACCTTAGTCACCTCCTGCACCAAAGACTTGGTCTCTGGGCTTGGAGAGGGGCTTGCTGATCCGTTTGGAGAGGGTGTTACCTCTTGATGTATTTTCATCAAATTATTTCAAATAATTATTTCATCAAATGATGTGTTTTCATCAAAACCTCTTGCGGTTACGATCAGCCTTTCAGAGGGTGCAATAGACTCTGCTTTTAGTTAAACACGGCGATGAACATGTCAGCACTCACTTAATGCTGCTCCAGTGCCTCAGTGAGAGCCCAGGGAGGCCGGCTGGTGGGCTCGCGGGGGCTGCAGGGCGCGCTGGCCGAGCTGAGCTCCACGTGCCGCTGTGGCCCCATCTCTGTGCTTGTCTGCAGCTTCACACAGGACACGAACGGGTGAGAAAGACAAAATAAAAAGATGCCACTGAACTGGTAGAGCTCTCTGCAGGCCTTCTGGGCAGGGACATGTCTGCTGGTAATGCCTAGTYTGGCATAAGCAATAGCTGCTCCAAACCCACTGGGTGGAAAGTCCTAGAAATATCCCTGCTCAAGCAGCAGGGAAAAGTCTTGGACCATAAAAGTTACGATGCATAAGAAAGAGAATAAAATATTATGTTGGCAACAGCTTAGTGCCATTTCATAAAACAACAGGGCTTTTTCCACATGAAATAACACGAAAGAGGCTGTAAYGCCTAAGGTCAGAAAGCAGCACCGAGCTGCCGCGTCCCGCCCGGAACCCCTGCAGCTGCCCCGGGACACCCTGGCAAGAGCAGTGGGCAAAAAGGCCGTGTTTGCCTGATCCGCCCTCTCCAAAGACGTATCCTGTCACTACATGGGGCAAAGAAGGAAGAGTCGGAGCACGGAGTGGCCTGCAGCCTGGAGCAGGACTTGGCAGCCAGCAGGAAACTCCATTTCACGGCCAAGCTGTAACTGAGGGGCTGCATTTCACAGCTGATCCTGGAAATGAAAGGTGAAAAAGTTCAACCAGTTCAAAGCCAAGCAGCGCACACAAACGCCCCTCTGAATATTTGCTAGACTTTTGACTAATGTTCAGCTTTAAATCTTCACATGACACAGATATTACCATGAAGTCACAGCTGGGAAATTAGTTTTAGATGTTAACAGCCAAACTGCTCTTTAATCCTAATGGTTTCTTTTCTGTTAAACAAGGTGGTTTTAAACAAGCCTGCCATTTGGCTTAATTTTAAGTAAACCTCTCACAATAAGTGCTTTAACTCGCTCACAAGAGCAGTGCTTTGATACTAACAAACAGAGATGGTCGAGAGGGAAATGTGAGGGCTGGGGGCAGTCTTGGCTGCAGTGACCATGAGATGTCGGAATTCAAGACCCTGCATGAAGGAAGTTGGGCAAGAAGCAGGATTGCAGCCCGGGACTTCAAGAGAGCTGACTTTGACCTCTTCAAGGAGCTCCTTGGAGGAATCCCCTGGGCCTGGGTCCTAGAAGGAAAGGAGGTCAAGGAGAGTTGGCTAATATTCAAGCACCACTTTCTCCAAGCTCAGGGTCGGTGCATTCCTACAAGAAAGAAGTTGAGCAAAGGAGGCAGGAGATCTGCGTGGATGGGCAAGGAACTCTTGGGTAAACTTAATGAGAAAAAGGGAGCATAGAGCATGTGGAAGAAGGGCCAGGCCACATGGGAAGAATATAGGCACGTAGTGAGAGAATGCAGGGATGCAACGAGGAAGGGGCTGGTTGGAAATAGAGTTAGCACGAGATGTCGGGACAACAGGAAGGGCTTCTATAAACACATCAGCAGCAAGAGGAARGCTAAGGAACACACTGGTCTGCTGCTGAATGGGGAGGGTGCCTTGGTGATGGAGGATGCAGAGAAGCAGAGTTACTAAATGCTGCCTTTGCCTCTGGCTTTCTAGCTAAGGCTGGTCCCCATGAACTACAGAGCCTGGAGACAAGAGAGAGAACCAGGAGAGAGGAAAGAACCAAGTATGGGGAAAGACTAAAGGAGCTGGGCCTGTTTAGCCTAGAGAAGACTGAGAGGAGGTCTGATCAATAGGTAAAAGWAGCTGAKGGGAGGATGTAGGGAGGAAGGGGTCAAACTCTTCTCAGCAGTGGCAAATGACAAGGGCCAATGGATACAAGCTGAAACACAGGCAGTTCCATCTCCATGTGAGGAAGAACTTCTTCAGTGTGGGGGTGACAGAGCCCTGGCACAGGCTGTCCAGGGAGGCTSTGGAGT